CGCCCCCCCCCTCCGCCTCCCCTCCCCCCAGCCACTTCTTCTCCCCCCTCCCCAATCTTCCCCAGCCAGCTCCCTGCCCCCAACCTCGCACCCTCCAGCAGCCCTTCTTCCACCGGCCCCCCAATCTCCCCAGCCTGCCCCGATTCCCCCGTCCAATGCTGCTTCCGGTGGCCAGCTCTCCCCTCCTCCTCACCCCAGAATCCCCTGGCACCTGCCCCTGCCCCCTTTGCCCTCTTTTTCCCTGATACCCACCCCCTCACCACTCTCTGCCCCATTCCCCTCCTGCCCCTCTGTGCCCTCACATATGACTTGCCCCATCCTGGCCTTCCTCATGTCCACCCCTTCTTTCAAGCCTTCTCCCAGCACCTACTCCTCCAGCCCCCAATGCCCTTCCCCTCTCCTCTCCTCTCTCCCAGCATCACCCTGTCCCCCCCCCTCCCACTGACACCTCCCCTCTTGCCCTTTCCCTCATTGTCTGCACTCGGCCCCCTGGCATTTGTCTCTCCTGCACCCTGTCCCTTGGTGCCTTCCCCTGCCCCCGCCCAAGCCCCTTCTCCTTCCACGCCACCCCCGCTGCCACCACTGCCTACTCGCCTCCTCCCCAGCCTGCCGCCTCTTCTCCCCTCCCCTCCCCTCCACCCAAGCCCATTCCCTACCTTCTGCCTTCCTCATTGCAGGGCCGGAGGCTGCGCTCAGGCCCCGGAGGCTGAACCCGGAGCCAGCATGGCCCCGCCACATGCCTCTGAAGAGTTTTAAAATCCCAGGCTGTGACGTCACGTCACGCCCGGGCATCCTTCCCGCCCACGTGCAACGCCGCACATAGGCAGCGGCAGGCAGTGAGGAGGAGCCGCGCACGGCGGGGAAGCTCGGGGGGAGGGGAGGGCGGACCAGCATCGTTCCAGGCAGAGCTGGGGGAGAGACCCAGCTCCACATATTGATGGAGCAGGACCCCCGGCTCTAACTCGCCGGCACTTCCGGGTTCAGGGGGCGCAAGGCCTGATTCGACCGAATTGGCCTAAGGCTGGCCCTGCTGGCAGCCACCAGGCATGCTGAGGCCCCGTATTTTTTTCCCGCGGCCCAATAGCGGGCCGTGGTCCATAGTTTGGGAAACACTGAACTATACGATTAGTTAATAAGGGAAAGCACTCAGAAGGAGCTACCCCCACTGCGGCTCTGCAATTTAAATGTTATAAGAGCCAGGCATGCAGGCAGCCTGGCTCCTACATTTAAACTGAAGAGCTGCAGAGGGGTAGTTCCTGGACTCAGCGTAAGCTGGGACTTAAGCCAAGCTTGCTCAGTTCTGGCTTCTGCCTGCTGGTGGACAGGGGCTGCAAGACCAGCCTTGGCAGCTGAGAACAGAGGCTGCTCCAGCAGCAGCATCTGTTTATAGTGGCCAGGGCTAGCCCTGAACAGGGGCTGCTTCACCAGAGCAGTTCCTATCTGCAGGGGTCCCAATTCTCTGATAGGGAACCAGCTTTTAAACTGGCTCCCCAGAACACTGGTTCCTGCTCCCCCCCCCTTGCTGCGTCTGAAATAAAGATTGGGAGCCACTGGATTAATATTTTATACTGTGGACCGGCAAACTCATTCAACATTTTTTTGGCAGACTAGCATAGAAACATTTACATAGTCATTATGACAATTTGCATATTAGTTACAGTTATTAATTGTAAGCTTTTAAACTGGCTCCCCAGAACACTGGTTCCTGCTCCCCCCCCCTTGCTGCGTCTGAAATAAAGATTGGGAGCCACTGGATTAATATTTTATACTGTGGACCGGCAAACTCATTCAACATTTTTTTGGCAGACTAGCATAGAAACATTTACATAGTCATTATGACAATTTGCATATTAGTTACAGTTATTAATTGTAAGTGGTCACGTTATTTTTCATTGCTGCTGTATGCACACAAACCCACCACTTCTACAAGTCTGCCCACTTTATAAGGTTACTGACATTTTGCCTCCCTTTTACCTCATTCCCTTCACCTCAAGAACCCTCCCCACCAGCTCCTGGACACTGGCCTCTCAGCACTGCCCCTATCCTCACTGCCAGCCCCACCTTGCTCTTCCCCTATAATTGACAGCAAGACTCCGGCACTGCCCATGCAGCTGCAGGCCTGCTTGCACACAACCAGGCCTGAAGGATGAAACCCTGCCCCTGACTTGTGCACCTGGCAAGTGGCTCCTGACTGTCACTTACTAGCCTGGGTGGCCACTGGAAGGAAAAACAGAAGAGCAGTTTGTTGCCATGGCTGCCTGAACTCACCAGGTTCATGCTGATGGGGCTGATGCTCTCCCCTATTCCCCTCTCCCACAGCACGGCAGGCAGAGGCAGCACAGCCACCACCACTCTCCCCACTACCTCACAGCTCCCAGTGCGAGCAGCAGCTACGTACAACAGCATCGCCTCAACTTAGCAGCCTCAAAGGGCCCCTCGAGAAGCAAAGACTGGCAGACTTCTGGGTCTGTGCATGCACTCTGTGATTGGCTAGTGCTGCTCCTGTGGTATGTGCCATGGTCTGGTAGTGCCTGCTAGGCATGGAACACTCCCCTTCCTCCCCATTCCCTGTGCCTTGGGATACTCAGGCCCACCTGCACATGCAAGTCCTGCACATGCAGGTCCTGCACAGACCCCTGGGGCACCCACCCATTGCACCATTCATCATGCTGCTGTGCAGGGAAGTAGGCTGGCAGAAATGTGTGTGTGTGCAGGCGCACACTTCTCCAGTGGGTGGGGCTCAATTAGCAGTTGTGGGCGTTGCCTGGCAGTGTGCTGCAGCCCAACAAGCAGCAGTTCCCGGCCTGCCACTGGTCCACAGCCTGATGGTGGGAAACTACTGGAATAATCAACTATTCTTTTACATCCTTAACATGAATTTTTAAAAACATTTTCAGCATATGGAAGTGTTGCTCTCTCTGTTTTCTTCAGATGTGCTCTGTAGAACCTCTTCAGTATTAGCAAACCAAAACAGGAACTGAACTCCCTCCCACATACTTGTGACTTCTCTTCTGTGTGTTTGTCTTTAAACCAACTTATATTTGAGTGTTGAGACTGGCTCAGAATTCTTGCTCATAAGTATAAGTTTAAATATTTAAATGATTGTGCATCTGAACAGTCTTTATTTTGGATATGTTAGTCTACATACATCTGCAATCTGGCTCAGTTTTCCCCCTTAATTTCAACTAAATTCTCTCTTCCACATACACCCCATACAGAGTAGTATCTTTCTTAAATAAGACAGATCATTCCTCCTGAAACTACTGAAATATACATTTTAAAGTCAACCACACTTGATATAACAGTTCAGCTAAAAGACTCAAAGAAAACTGAAGCACCTTCAACTTTGGGGAGCACAGAAGTATTTTATATAAAATATATTTCCATATTTTCTTCTTCACACTGTTGCTTCAGTTACTACAAAACTTATAACTACTGGCCTTTCAAAAAGCTCCTGTATTGACATTTAAGAGACTGAAGAGCTTGGTTTCTGGGCCATTGCATGTAGCACCTTCATGCCAAAGGAGACATTTTTGTAGTACTTAACAAGTGTCAGCTGTAGACTAAGTGACTGCTTTGCAAATTTCAGCTGTCCCCCATCAGGAAACTACTACAGATCTCATGGAGCTTGTCTTTATCCCTTCAGGAGCACATCTTGATCTCTCCCCCACTTCCCACTGTAACTTTCCACAGTATAATTTAATCCAGTAGTTTACATATCCACAGCAGTCTATAGTGTGGAGGTCTTCCTGTCATCTAGGCTTTTGCCTAGTTTTACAACATGCTACCAAAAAAAAAAAAAAGCACTAGCAAAATCAGAACTAAAATTTCATACAATGGCTTGTTTATACAGCTCTATCACATGCTGATAAGTACACACAATATTCCAATTAGTTTTATAAGTTTACAGTAAACTAGAAAGCAATCATTTTTTCAGTAATCGTGTGACACTTTAGGATTTATCAGATTTTGGAAACAAGTAGATTAAGTGAGGAAAATTTCGGGGCATACAAGACAAATCAGATTTTTGAAAGAGGTACAGTGGTCT